CGAAAGCAATACCGAGAACAGGGTAACAGGATACATGACTGAGGAACACACACACCCACACCCTTTGATTGATATGCAGGGCAATATGCTGGAGGACCAATCAAACAACTTGGACGCCTATTTCGGAGGCGTGTCCAGCAAATTGCATTACTCTAAAAATTTCAAACGTTACAAATCAAGAATAGAGGGACAGAAACTAGAACGACAGTGTACAAAATGCGAAGAATACAATAAACCTTTTGGCCTGGTAGAGTTGCAGGCATCGCTAAACTAATGCAACAAATCATTTCCCGGTTACGACAGTGTAGCTTATCAAATGCTGGTGCACTTGCCTCTCGAAACACAGAAATATCTACTTTCCCTAGATTTTGCAGCCCTTGCGACATAATGCCCCATTATTCATCATCACCACCCCGGAAAGGCGTTTTTCCCGGGCTAATATCCTAGAGTATTACAATTTTTTCGGCACCTAAGAGGCTTTGCTTTATGAAAAATCAATACAGATTTCCTTGCGGCCTTGTGCTACAAGCGGGTGCTGGTCTTTCCATTTCAGCATTTTCAGCTCCTTATTCCAAAATATAACTTCTTTCCTTTGTTGCTGACAACAAGAAAAGCAGCGTAAACCTCCGAAACTTTGAAGTAAACAGCGCTTTTGTGTGTGTTTTAGATAAATCATGAATCCATTCCCACCGTCGTTGTTCTCATTTGTAAGCACTTTAACTATCTGGCATTTGTTTTGGCAGCCCCATAACGGTACTGTGGCCAATGAGGTAGTGAGGCGACATTTGTCACAACAGTAGTGCGAACACTATGTTTTATATAATATATAAAGCGAACTAGTGACATCTCAGAGGAGTACGCGTAATCATTACACTGATCTGGCAGACATTGTCAGTAGCCTTGTTGGGTGCCAAGAGATATTGTCGCCTGCTTTCTACAAGACAGGCATGCATGCCTATATACTTTAGGTGGTGACCAGCTGACTCTCGTATGGTGGATTGTCATTGTTCCCGCTGAAATTGTCTTGCTCAAGGTCCTCAAGTATTAGCACGTACGGCACATCCCAGTTTTTTGCTAGTGTGCTTGGTTAGCTACTTTGTAGGTGTCATTTTTATTACCGCCGAGTAATCTCCTCCAGTATTGCTCTGGCAGTGATTCACACACCATAATGCTCATTGCAGGAAAGAGTTGTAGAACTGTGTTTCCAGCAAAATGTGGAACAATATGTAGGGTTGTATGTTTGGTGAGTTCAACGCTCCAAAGGCATTGTTATGAATGGCGTATCAAAACCAAACCACAGCTAGTTAAAAAACTACACAGACACGGGCGCCAGTCTCGCAAAGAATTTTTACTCGTGTGGACACATATATATACAAGCACGTGGTCCGCATAACATGTGATACAACAGAAAAATTGTGTAATATTATTCTATTGAAGTATGATACCTCCTTTTATTACAAGGCGATAGACGAAACGCTGATACATGAGTTAGTGTTAGAAATGTGTAAAGCCTCTGGTATTTCCCGAGTAGTCTGGTCGTTACTTCTAGCGATGATAGTAGTTTCTTCAAATGGAAGGACGCACCCGCACTCTCTGCAGTGCACGCCTACATGCGATAGGGCATCGGTGCGAACGTTGGCCTAATGTTCCCTGAATCTCCGATTGACACACCTACCAGTTTGTCATATGTATAGCGTCACAAAAAGAAATCCCGTACACAACCCCCGTGGCGCATTCAACAGCTTTTGAACGCTGCCTGAAGCCGCATCCTGCAGTCTCTTTCTCATTTCTTTCTTTCAATTTTTTCGCTTGCACGTGCGCCAATATGTTGCAGCTTATTACGCCCAGAAAATACCACCCTCACACCAAGCCGGCGTGCATGTTCTTCAATCCATGGGACATCTTATGCACACATGGTACAACAGCTGTTTTCTTGTTATCTTCCTGCTTAATTTTTTTTCTCCGTTGCCTTCATGCTGTAGTGATCTTATTATTTTTAACACACTCTGGTTACATGCCACTGGTATCCAGCGTGCACGAGCCTACCTACTCATTGGAAAACGCTTCCCCTAATCTTATGACGATTCGTCTTCTGGAGGGAGCTCTCAGCAAGAGGAGCTTGTTTCATCCTTGGCTATTTTAGAATGAGCTGACGAGAAGTTCAGAGGCCTTTTTTGATCGTGGCCAATATTCCAAACAAAGATGTTCAGGCATCACGAAAATTACCAGATCAAGACATCTTAATTTTTGCTGCTCCAAAAACTCGTGTGTGACTCGAGGACCATAGCTTCCTGCATGAACAGTTCTAAAACTGCATGGATTGATATTGGATCTCAGCTTTCACCGATGAGGACTAAATAATCATCTACGTACCAAAAAAAACTAATGTCATGACCTTAAATACACCGCTCAATACCCTTGTGTACACAAGCAAGGAAAACATTGCTAAGAATTGGGGCTATCCTAGACCCCATACAATACCTTTTTTTCGTATAAACCACTTCTCTTGGAAACCAATAACAGTATATTTCAAATAGAACGTTCAAATTCCCAAGAAAGATGCTACAGAAATGCCGCAGTTGATAAAAACTTAAATTTGTCATCATACACTGTTATGTCCGGTGTTGTCGTCGGCCCATAGACGTACGCGTTGGTCGCGGTAGTCCAAAAAGCTCAGACAGCCTCGAACGGTTAAAAACAAGTTTATTCCTATTCGGATGGAGGCGGCGGCCCATCTGCCGGGGGAAACGACGGTGGCTCGTTTCCGCCGAGCGGGGGAAGGGGAGGAGTCAACATCTGGAAGCAGTTTCAGCAACCGGTCCTTCGCGGGTTCAAAGGCTTGCTCGTGACACAGGGGTGCTTGGAACACAACATACACCTTAATGCATTTTTATACACATGCCACCAATCGTTCCTGTGGTATCGAATGTTACAAATCTTGCACGTCCACAGTAAACGTGGCGTACCGACCCGGTTCACATCTTCTTAGTTGATCTACCATGCCTTTTTTATATTGATATCAGGAAATAATCTGACCCACCAGGTTTCTTAGGAAATTTTGATGGTACTTCGAAACCAGCAGCTGCCATGAACCCTTCACAGGAACAATTGTTTGAAACAGCATCCCTTTCTTGTGGGTCTCAACTGTAAAAAACACTTTTAATTGCCCCAGAAACACCAGGTTTCTTAGGCAATTTTGAAGTACCTTCGTAATTGCCTAAGAAACCTGGTGGTCCCAGATCCTTTCTTGATATAGAATTGATATAACAGGAGCGATTGATGGTATGCGTAAACAGATGCATTGCGGTGTGTAATGATGAATTTCATTTTGTTACAAACTGCGGCATTTCTGTGGCATCTTTCTTGGTAATTTTAACGTGCTATTTGAGATTTACAGTTATTTGTTTTCAAGGAAAAAGATTTATACAAAAAGAAGGTGTTTGTATATGGTCTAGGATCGCCCCCATTCTTAGCAATATTTTTCTAGGTTATGTAGACAAGGGTATTGGGTGGTGCGTTGAAGCTCAGGACAATAAAATATTTTGGTATGCAGAAAATTATCTCGCCCTCATGGATGAAAGTCGAGGTTCAATCTCTGCATGGAATTTTAGAACTGTTCAAGCAGGAAGGTATGGGCCTCAAGCTTACACACGAGGTTGCAGTGCAGCAAAAAATAAGATTTGTTGATCTGGCAATTTTCTTGATGCCTCAACATCTTTGTTTGGAATATTGGCCACGATCCAAAAAAGAAGGCCTTCTGAACTACTCCTCAGCCCACTCCGAAATAGTCAAGGATGCAATACCTCCTTTTCCTTGAGAGCGGCCCTCCTGAATACAAACCGTCATCGGATTAAGGAAAGCGTTTTCAGACAAGTAGGTAGGCTCGTGCGCGCTGCCTACCCGGGACATGTAACCGGAGTGTGTTAGAAGATGATAAGATCACTAAAACATGAAGGCAACAGAGACAAAGAAAACATTAACCTGGAAGATAACAAGAAAACAGCTGTAGTACCTTATGTGCATAAGATTGAAGATAAATTGAAGAACGTGGCCAGCCGGTTTTGCTTGAGGGTAGTATTTTCAGTACGTAATAAGCTGCAACAAATTGGCACACGTGTAAGCAAAAAATTGAAAAAAAGAAACGAGAGAGAGACTGCAGGCTGCGGCGTGAGGCAGCGTTCAAACGCTGTTGACTTTGCCACGGGCATTTTGTACGTGTTTCCTTTTTCTTGTGAGGCTATACATATGGGACAAACTGGTGGGTGTATCAATCTGAGATTGAGGAAACATGAGGCCAATGTTCGCACCGATGCCCTATGACATGAAGGCGCGTACTCCAGAGAGTGTTGGTGTGTCTCTCAATTGGAAAAACTCACATCATCGCTAGGAGTAACAATCAGACAACTCAGAAAATCATATAGGCTTTGCACATGTTTAACACTAATTCATATATCAGCGTTTCATCTATCGCCTTGCAAGAAAAGGAGGTATCTTATTTGTATAGAAAATTATGACAAATATTTCGTGCTTTGTCACATGTTTTTCGGACCACGTGCCAGTATATATGTTTGTGTCGACGTGAATAAACATTAATAGCAAGTCTGGCGCCCATGTCTTTCTGGTTTTCTTCATCTGTGTTTCATGCGTTTTTCATTCGTCGTTCATAACTATGAACAAACACCAACTCGCCCAACTGTCAGTGCTCCATAGGCAGTCAATATAAAACTTGAAGGGTTAGCCTTAAAATAAATATACAACTATTGCACTATTTGTCCGCATCGACTGCAATGCAAAAGGGCGCATAAAACAGTGTTAAGATATTTGCTTATATTTCGTGCTTTTTTGCTTTTTTTCCAACTGGTTCTCTGCCTCATAGCGTAGGCTAGAAGGTGAAACAAATGGGCTAGGATGGTGAGGCATCACCTTTACATTATTCCACCAACACTGTGCAGAGGTTTTATACAGTGCATTTGCTCTATTTGTTCTCTTTTTCGTTCCAGACTTCGACAGCTATCGTGTAACTGGGCATTTGCATGCTTCTGTCGATCCTCAACCCATACAATTCGCTGGCAGTAGCTTTGTTTCTTTCGCAAGAAGCATAGACAATGCTTTGAATCGCCAGCAGCCAAATGACCTAGCTGGTTGGAGCTATTCTGGACTAACAAAGTAAGTTATTTAACCTACCTTTCCTTTATAATTGAAGAAATGTTCGTTTGTTGAACATTACCAGTTTGTTTCCCCCAAGAGCAATCTTCATTGGTCTTTAGAAAAATATGATTTATGCAGTGGCTTATTTTTCATGAAAACAAGTATTGTCTGGCACGAGGTGTCATATTGAAAGACTAAATAGCTGGCGGGTAGCCATTAAGCTTGACACTTGCGTATTCCTAAACATAGCACCGGTACATTATGCATTTCAACTCCATACAGTATGTGTGGGCACTGGCTGGAACTTGGACTGTTTTCCCTAAATACAGGCATTACTGCCACAGCTGTTCATGCAGCTTACCGTTATGAACGCTTGCTATTTTGGCTCACTGTCTGTTCCTATCGAGTACTTACAGACTCAACAAAATAAAGGAGGGCAATTCTAAACACCACTATTGGTGTAGTAATTATTCCTGTATTACATTGCAGAAGATAGTGCTCCCAATGTAAGCGCTCCCGTGAATACTATTTAGAGGTTTAGAAACTGCAAAAGTGAACAAAGTTAGGCTGTTGTCACTGCATTACGAAAGAGAAAACCACCGCTAAGAATACAATTACAAGAAAGAACGAAAGTTCTTTCTTTCTTGTCCTCGTCTCTTAAGCACTGCTTTTTCCCCCTACGTTACTGCAAATTGGGCTCACATCACCAGCGATATTTCGAAGGTCCTCATAAACGATAGTGTGACATTGAGAATCTCTTTTTGCTCTTTGAAGATTGTACCTATTGAGTATATTCATACATAATTTTGTGTCAGGCGTCATGAATTGTTAGGCCCACGGAATGGATTTTGCTCTCTCTTAGTAGAGTACCAAGTACTCCAAATAATTAACAAGTTTTTCTAAGCACGCATCTCGTGAAATCACTAGTGTTATTTGTTAGCTGTTTTGTGAGGCATTTCAGGTCTGTATCTGAAGCATAGAGGCCTTTCACTGCCGTGGGCTCTTATGATATAAATTGGTGCTTCCATGCTGCTTTATGTGATCTACTTTCAATGCATCGCCTCTGTAGCTGTTGTGTTGCTGCATGCGTTGCGTCTCTTCTTAAGCTCCGCCATGTTGGCGATTCGTTGGAGAAGTGTGCTACGTAAATATTGGTGAAGATAATCAGTGTACAAAGTTCTGTGAATAACGCCGTACTCGCCTACACAATTTTGTTCGTCAACATGACTTTAGCAGGGCGTGCCAATGTGTACAACGATGGTAACAAGGGTGCAGCGGTGAAGCATTGGTTTCAGAAGTATTTCTCGTTTGAGGGGAGTTTGGCTGTCTCCAAGCTACGGCCATCTTGCACTCTGTGAACCGTGATTGAGCGGTGGGCTTAGACAGCAACTAATTTTCGTGTAATCGCTCAAAAATAATACTACAACGTATCTGTAGCAAGATATAGGAGCCAATATCCTCATTAGTCGTAGTGGCACAATGGTAAACGAGCCTGCAATGTTGTTCTACACAAAAGTGTTTTAAAGAGGGGTTCACCACGGCTCCACTGACTTATTTTCCTCCTCGATACGACGTCGTAGAATATATGCTAACAAATTGCAAAGGAAGAATACAATGACATGAAGTACCACTGCTGTGTGTACAACTTTCTACCTCCTACTCCAACGCGCGTGGCGTGAATCCACAAGACTACAAAACACACGTTATCAAGCTTGCTAAAGTAAGCTATTTATATACATCATATACCATTTGGCGATCCTCAGAGCTCCGCAACTTCACTGCGTTTTCGCCTTCAGTGGCGAGATGGCGTAAATGCCTCGCATTGAGCATTTATAAAGACCATTACTTTTTGCGTTTTGATGAGCTCCTCCACCAGCGAAGGTGCATATCAGGCTCGTGATTTTGCGGAGCACGAACATCCCTTAGCTTGCTCCCGCGACCATGTTTACAAAAGGAGCACATGCTGACATACTATAAAGTAAATTGTAGCAGTTGTTCGGGCTAGTTCTGTGTATACCTGTGCTTTTGTTCCATGCGTCTCTCTTTCTATAAAAGCAGCACTTTAAATTTCACGATATGAAAGTTTTAGTCCGTGCTCGCTTAGTGTATATTCACTTCGTGAATGCTTTCGGCTGAAGGTGCGAGCCCAGAATTTCAAGATCCTTGCCTTTCATCGCGTGACATTACATTTTGTTGCTATGGCATACATTCCTTTGCCCTTCTGGAGAAACAGTGCGCAAAAAACTCTCAACTGCCTCTGTGAAGAAATGTTTCAAACTCATGGTATACTGATTCCTAAACGGGGGATTAGCAACGTTTTTTTCAACTACTTTATGTAGCAGTAGAGTGTATGTAGTGTTAAGGAGATACTGAAGTTAAACAGCAAACTAGTTTGTACTGATAGATTTTACTTTGTAAATATAGCTTCCTCAACTTTATTACTCTATAGTAATTAGATCAGGAAATTGATGCCTAAACTTCCACTCGTAAATTTGCCGCATGAATATCTTATGTCAAAATCACAAGTCCGAAAATTGTCTTTCGCATTTCGGCCACCTTGACAAAACGATGTTTTGTAAAACTTGCTGTAGCTCTTTCAGCAGGCTGTAGTTCACTTTTACTCATTAGGTACAACGTTGGGTCTACTGGACGCTGTAAATATTTATGACGTTCTCGCGCTCAAGTGGGCTCACTTTTTTTTAGTGAAATAGTAATTTTTATCTGACAAATACTTGTGTACAGTTTATTGTTTTTTATACTGTAGCGCTCAAAGAAGTACACGTGCCCTGAATCTAATGGGAACCGATGAGAACTATTTTTTTCAGTGGTGAGTGGGTGACTTAAAAAAGAACGAACATGTGAGAGATTGTTTGACACTCAGTCTGTGAAGCGCAGTTCTTCCTGGCGTGTACGCGTCGATACGTTGGGAACCGAGACAAGGCTTATAATGGCAATCCTGTGCATGGATGCCATGAAGGCTACAGCGCAAGCGACAAACACCTGTATATACTTGAACTGCCACCTTCTTATACCGCTGACACAAAACTCTGCCTTTTCCAAGCGGAAGCTCAAATCGCAGCGCGGCGCATTGCTATCAAGAGGACAAATTAGTAGAACGTGATTGCCAGCCTCCTGCTTGAGATGGTGACCAAAATGTGTGACGTTCTCATGCCTTCACCAGCGAAGGATGTGTAGAAATATCCATGCGTTTCCACGATGTGAATCATGACTAAAAAGAATGCGCGGCCGCGCTGGATTGTTCGTCATCTTATAGCTTGGTAGCGCAAAATTGCCGAGGACAGAAAGGAACACAGAAATGAAAGACAAAGCACAAACACGCAACTAAGCTTTATTCAGAAGTTTTTCTACATATACACACCGCCAACTTGCGTACGCAGACGAAATTTGGCTATGAGGTACAATGTACTATAGTTTTTGTTTTGCGCCACATAACTGGCTGGGGCTATGACCTGTCAACTTGGGACTGCCTAAAAGAGCAGTGACATACTTCATGCATGTCCCCGTTTTGCGTCAACACGTGGTTATCGATCTCCTAATAACAATTTCGTAATAATGAGACAACGAGGGACAAATAATGTGTGTTATTCGATTAGTTTCACCAGTATAGTACTGAATTGAACAATCAAAAGTTACTCATGAGTAAACTTCGTAGAAAACAAATAGTTAAAGTTGATACATAAATGAAAATTCCGAAGAAGTAGAATTGCATTAGAACAAACTTAACAAGCAAACTGTTTTGTGTCTCCTCAGGAAAAACCTAACAAGCAAACCTTATTGTGTCTACTGAATTTGCGAAGAGCTATGCAGACGCTCCAGTTTCTGTGGCTCAGAGAAAAAGCTCCGAGCACAAGGATAATTTCAGAATTAGGAGAAATGCATCATTTCATGAATATAGTTGCTAAATGTTTTTGGCAGAAAGAAAATGTGTGGTCTGGTTTGCGCTCATTCTTCATCGTCATTAGACACAGCATGAACAAAGCGTGCATGTTGTTATGCAGATGTATAACGGCTACCTCGCTTTTCATAAGGGAACGGCATAATAGATGCTTCCTTACTTCAATAAAGTTACTCACTGTCGGGTAGCGCACAAATTGAAACCACATAGGAAGAAAACTGGACAAGAGTTGCTCTAAAAATGGAAAATTTTTTTAAATATCATTTATAGATCCAATATTGCTAATAGATTTTTAGTTATACTAGTGCTTGTCCGGTTCCCTCCTTTCCTGTTTTGAAGTTGTTCGCTAGCCGAGAAATTTCAACTCAACCGCCTTTCAGTTCTAACATTTACTACAGGAAAGTTACGGTGGGCGTGTAGTGGGCAACTTGCATGTCCTTGTGGACACACATGAGAAAACGACTTGACACGTCCTTCTATCGTTAGAGCGAGAAAAAACAGACTTGACTTCCTAATTATTGCGATAGAATTCATATAAATACACTCGGTGGGACTTTGCCACCGGCATCGGCATCTTACACCGTATATGTATACGTATATGTATTCGCAAGAAAAAAAAGGAAATCCAGAAAAAGGACTTTGCCGCGCGATATCAAGCTTGGAGCCTCCGCGTCGTGAGTGCGAGGCTCTAACCACTGAGCTACCGAGGCGTACCCCCCGTGAATGTTCAAACTGCAAGATAATTATATCTACCACTTACTGCTGTTGGCGGGCATATCAGGGGGGACTATCGTGTTTTCAGCCTTACCAGCAAGATGACGCTATGAGTGCGTGGCAGCTCTCATGTTCACGCGTACTTTGGCCCACGGAGAAAACTGCGCTATCTCTCGCGCACTTTTATCTCCCGTTGGAGAGCATTGTACGTCGTGGCTGGCGTTGAGCTGCACTGGAACGATCCTGTTGTAAGTAATGAGTGCACAAAGGTTACTGCCACTGTTACACAGCTTCAGTTTACGAAGAGGGCGTGCTTCTCAGACACATCAAAGTAAGAACTGAGACGCAGACGCTTATTCGTGTTCATCTGTACCTGTGAGTACGTTTT